TTTTCTATTAAACTGAAAAGGTATAAATATTTTTGCTCTCTAAAAACTTACATGGTATCAGAGCGGCTAGCCCTCTTAAACTACATCAAATACAACCAGTTGTTCGTTGCCTTCGCGTCGCATCTCTTCTGCTCCTCATGGGTTCGCATAATATCATTGCTTTAGTCAGAAGTCGCTTCTTGTGCAAGACTTCTTTTTGGCAAAGAGTTTCATTGCCACCTTTGTGTATTTCTCTTCCGTCATTTTTTGTTTTTTTTTCGGTCGATGCTTCTTCATTGATTTCTTCGCGGTTTTCAACGCCATTGAAATTTGTAATTTGAGGAAATAGTACTTTTATGTCCACCTTTAGTTTTCACAAAGAATTCTTATGTTCCCAAGTATGATGAACCGGAGAATTGAATTGAATCGAAACTAGACCCTTGAAATGCTAAATTTGTTTTAAACCCTTCGGTTGCTTCTTCGTTGGAGCCGCCTCCACCAACTTCTCATCCACTCAGCTTTAAGCACTAAAATAACTCGTCACCGAAGTTGACTCAGATTTTCAGACTCGTCTTTTGCTCTCTTTTTATGATGTCGTATAAATCAATGATGACCAACACAAAAAAAATTCTACTGTTTCTACTTGTTCCAGACTTCCAATAATTCCAAAACCAATTTGCCCTACCCATGGTGGTGCGAGCATTGTGAAAAATTATGGTTCATGAGGAACCCGCAATAAACAAAAATCAAAATGTGAAGGCCGGATCTACCAAGTCACTGTCGATGAAACTCAAGAATCTTCTACCAACTCAGACGCAATATCTTTCAGCAAAGAGCAATTAGAGTACCTGCACAAATTATTCCAATCTCCAAAATTATCACGGACTCTTGTTGTGTTCTTCAATATAGAAGGATATCTCTAGCCACTGCATTGTTAGGTATTACCTATATTTTTATTCATTATTGGATAATTGATTCTGGCACAATTGATCTTATAAACCTTGTGCGGGCAATAAAAAAGCCAAAATTGTCGATGATTCCCTTGCGATAATTGTCAAACTCGCATCGCTACTAATCATTCCTGATGTGCTCCATATTCCCATATTTTTCTTGTAATCTAATATCAATTAACAAAATTAATTATGATTATCAGTGTCAAGTTAATTTCTACTCTTCTAATAATGAGTTTCAAGAATTGGCTACTGATGATTGACAGTGCTAAGAAAAATGGACTATTGCTTTGACGATGGACATGATGCAAATAAACAATGTCAAAGTATTTCTCTAAATTATGGTTTTATTTCCAATAATGATATTATGTTATGGCATTATAAGTTAAATCATCCTACTTTCCAGCATTTAAAATTTTTGTTTCACATATTATTTCAAAATCAAAATGTGATATTTTTTCAATATGAAGTTTGTCAGTTTACCAAACACTATCGTGCGTCTTTTCCTCCCCAAATTTACAAACCAACGACACATTTACTCTAATTTATAGTGATATTTAGGGTTCTTGTAAACATCTTACACACTTTAAAAAAAGATGATATGTTACCTTACTGATGATCACATAAAGTTAATTTAAGAGTACTTAATAAAAAAATTTTGAAGTGGAAACACTTTTCAAAAGTATTGAAACTATGGTACAAACACCATTTCAAAAAACTATTCAAATATTATGGAGTAATAATGACATATGAGTATTTCAAAAATGTTTTTGGTCAATTTTTTTAAAACAGTAATAGCTCACCAAAGCTCTTGTGTCGACAACCCACAATAAAATGGTGTATAAAAGACAAAACAAACACTTATTAAAAGTAGCTCGAACATTGGATATTTACAAATCAAGTGTAAAAATATCTCTGGGATGAAGTCATTCTTACTGTTGCATTCCTCAATAATAGAACAACCAATAAAGTTTTGAACTTCAAAACACGTTTGATGTTCTTCAAAATATTTAGCAAAAAATTGATTTTCTTTTGATTTATTTTTAAAAATATTTAGGTGTATTGCATTTGTTCACACTCATAGTCATAATCAAAGAAAACTTAACCTGAAAATTGAAGACTCACAAAATTCGGGGAGGGGGGGTTGGGGGTTGGCAGAACAAAGATTTGACTACCGGTTTCTTCAAATTGAAGACTCATAAAATGATTTCCCCCTAAACATGATTGTTCAGCCTGAAAATCAAAGTTATAACATATCAAAAGAAAATTTCTTTTAGATCTTGAAGACGATTTACATATCCCTACTATGTCATCTTATGATGTTCATAAACCTATGGCAACTAAAAAAGAGGAAACAAAAAATGAACCATGACATTGGTACCATTTGACATTATCTATTCACAAAAAAGGACAAGTCCAAAGAATGAGTTTATGAATCATTTGCATTGCTTAGAACCCTTGAATTCTCGAAGTAATGTCCTCACTCAGCCTTTACCCCATGATCAACCTACTTCATCTTGCAAGACTTTTAGTCTTGAACCCAGTCTAGCCCTAATCCAAAATCTTATGATTCCAGTCATCCCATTGTTGCTTGTAAGGGAGAGAGGTCTTGCGCCCAACACATTATCTCAATTATGAATTAAATGAAAATCTCTCACCCATTTTTCATACTTTTACCACACATTTATTTTGTATGGAGAATCTCAATATTGTACAAAATGCTCTAAAAATTCCCAAGTGGAATGAGGTTGTTCTCAATGAGATCAAAACTCTAGAAAAAAAATGACATTTGGAAATTGGTTGATTTATCTAAAAGGAAAAGAACTGTCAGATGCAAATGAGTGTTTACAATTAAGTGTAATTATGATGGCTCTTTAGAATGGTGCAATGTCAAATTGTTTGCCAAGGGAGTCACTCAAACCTACAACATTGATTACTTATGACGCATTCGCTCAAGTAGCAAAAATGAATTCTATAATAGTTATTTTATCACTTACAACTAATCTTGACTAGCCCATAAAATAGTTGAATATAAAAATTATATTTCTCAATAGGGGCTTAAAGACGAAGTGTATATGGATGTGCCTAAAGGATTTAGTGAGAAGTTTGACATAAAGGTGTGTAAACTAAAAAAGTTATTATACAGGTTGAAGCAGTCGCCTAGAGCATGATTTGAGAAGTTTACACTGTTGTTAAAGTCCAGGGGTATACTCAAAGGCAAAGAGATCATACAATATTTTTCGGACATTCAAAGAATTGAAAGATAGTCATATCGATTGTGTATGTGGACGGTATAATTCTCACCGTAAATAATGTATATGAAATGAATCAGTTGAAGACTTTCCTCTCATCAGTTTTTGAGACCGTGGATTTAGAATCTTTGAGATAATTTCTTAGCATGGAGGTTGCTAGATCGAAGAAAAAGAGTGTTGTTTCCCAATAGAAATGTGTTCTTGATCTTTTAAAGGAAACAGAAATGAGTTGTTGTAGGCTTGTGGACACTCCGATTGATCTCAATTAGAAAATAAAAGATAAGGAGGACAACCCAGTGAATACAACTTGATATCAAAAGTTGGTGTGAAAGTTGATATACTTGTCACATGTCGAGATATCGTCTTTGTTGTAAGTTTTGTAATTCAATTTATACTTTCTCCATTTGAGAAATGCCTTGAAGCAAA